ATTCCCAAAGCTGTTAAAAGGTGCATATTTTGTACCTAGGAACGGTAGAACTTTAAGCTACGAAGATTATGTTTCTTCATTACTTAAGCATGTATCTGCATGTATGAATATATTTATACATGTATCTTAAGTATGTGCATGTGCATGCATGCACATGTGCGTGTGCAGGCATCTAGGGAGGAAAAAAGATAAATACGTAGGGTACTGATGAAACTTGATGCTTGTGGTAGACAGTAGTGTTCAGCACACTTCAGCTGTACCATCAATTTCCAGCCCTCTTGCAGTTGGATGGGGTCATGTGACTAGTTACAGCCAATGAAATATTAGAAGTGATCTGAGTCACTTCCAGGTTGAAGCCATGAATAGTTCTCCTGCAAGATTCTTCAGTTTTTTTCTTCCTCTGCTTCTTGGTCCAGCTATTGAAGCAACACATCAACTGTGCTCCCATCAGCCCGCATCCATGCATGAGCGGGCAGAGCAAAGCTCCCGTCACTCTGTGTGTGACTTGTAGTGTGTGTTAAGTCATTGATATTTGGGGTTTTTTTCTTGTTGTTATTGCAACAAACTATATCTGCAATATGCAATACCTCCAGATACTTCAATACAGATAAGCTATAAATATATGAAACCAAAGGCAAATTTAATGTAATAAATCATATACCATAAGGAGTAGCTAAGATGCCTAAGACCACATTTGGGGTTCTTTTTATCAATATGCTATTCTTGCACTAGACCCAAACTGAAGTTTCCAATGCCCCTCTTTTTAAAGTTCAACAGTCTTCTTGTTCTCATTATCTTGGAGCTCATTGTCACCATCAAAACTTGTGACCATTATCAGACCCTTTGGACACTCTGTAGCATCTGCTTCAGGAATATCAGGTCCTTCTGGGGGGTTTTTTCATAATTTTTAGGTCACTTTGGTTTTCTTTGTTTTGATAATTTCAATTTGAAAGAAGCTGGACAAATCTCAGTCTTGGACCCTTTGCATTCTCCAAAATGCTCTTGGTGAGCTTGTCGTTATGTGGTTTTATTTCCTACCTTTGTGGGTTAACTCTCAAAAGTACATTTCTTGCTGTAACCTCTCACTTCATTCTTATCACTGCTTACCTCTTTCTGTCTATTCTGTTCCTCCATGAGAAAACAGAGGGAAAGCCTAGGAAATTTACTTAGTTCTATTTTTATCATGCAAAGATCATGGGAAAAAAATCCAACTTAAACATAAAAAAAAATAAAATCTGTCCCTCTCCCTCATCGTACCCCAGGGGTAACCAACGCTAACAATTTTGTGAATAGATGACTTTTCAAGGTTCCTTCCAATGTCAGGATTTACAGTGTTGGGGGGAGAAAACAGAAAGGGAAAAAAGGGAAGAAAAGCAAACATTGTTCAAGGAGGATCTCATCACTTAGCCAAGGATTTCCCCAAAGGTGCTCCAGGTCAGAGATGCACACTTTTCAGCTGTCGTTGGTGATTGGAAGAGATTTATTATTCGAGGGGTATAAAAATGTTACCGCACCAGAAGGAGACTGTTGTCTATCTTCTTTGCTTGGAGTTGTAATAAATTAGATCGGGAAGAAGGCTTTCTTGGGATTAACAGTAGATGAACTTTGCCAGCTGTGGGGTTTTTAAAAGAAAAAATTAGCTCCTTCATGGTTTCACATATATCATAAAGAAGCTAGCACATCCTGAAGGCTTCCTCTAAAAAAAAAAGTGATATATGGCAAACTTGAAAGTCAGAATTAAAGGAAAAGGGCCATGTAAACTGACCCTAGGAAATGTGGGAACTATGTCGATTGGCGTTGTGGGGGGTGGGTTGGGGGAGGGTAGATACCACCTTCTTGCTGGTATAATCCTATTTTGCTTCACTCTAACGATAAACTAAGTGTTTTCTGGTTAAATTCAGCTTTGAATAATTGCATGCTGCTGGCCTGATCTCCCCCACTGCTGTGACTGGTTATGGTGTCCTTTTTTTTTTCTCTGTCTTCACTCTGGAGTGGCATTGCTTTGTACTAGAAACAATTCCATTGCCTCATCCCTGAGAGGTTGATTTCCGTGCTGAGTGGGTTGTTCTGGGCCTGTCTCTCACATACTTTAGATTTGTGGGCATTTATTTATAAAGTTCTGTGTTATCCTCAGATTAAAGCACACACACACACACACACACACACACACACACACACACACACACAC